GAGACCACAATGGGCAGAATCAGCAAGGTCAACAGGTGTTGTCCTTATCATAATAGGCTATAGAATATTTTTGTGGTGAAGGATATTAGAGGCCGTTGAGCTCCTACAGAGTTGAGACCTATGTTTCTGAATATGCTTAGCAATGAGCTACTAAGACAGCTTCATGGCTCAGTTTCCCAGACAGGGATTTAGCCTCATCTTGGACTTTATTTTAATCTCTATTCAAAACCTGATGCGGTCCAGAAACTAGACTTCATCCTCATCAGGTCAACAAACCTTAAGTGTACCATATTTTGGGAGCACTCTACTTACACTCTACTCTACAGAAAAGCTACCTCTGAGAGTGAGGTGGTAGAGAGAGAAAGTGAGAATGAGTGGAGGAGGGTAATATAATAGCACTGCACTGCCCTGGGATGGATAGGGCTCAGAGTCTGAACTGAGGCTGTTCCTTTGAGTGGTCTCTTATCTGACATACACAGACAGGCTGAATTAGCTGTGAGTGAATGCAGCACGCGGCAGATGTCCTGTCTCTCCACTGTATGGTGTAGTTCTGACCATTCTCCAGCCCCCTACCCACTAACCCCCCTCTCTCCCTCTTGGACTATCTTCATCGAGAAAAATACAACACAGTGTCCCTGGAAAGTTTTTGGTCACTTGTGCTGCGTTGATAACGTTGGACAACAAAATAATTATTTTTATGGGAAAAAAAATTAGAAAAACTAGATCATAGCTAGTTAGGTTGAATGCATAATAAGTTGTTTTTTTGTTGTTGTTGTTTGTTTGTTTGTTTGTTTGTTTTCCTAGTATATTAAAATGTTTTTAAATTTTATTTATTTTTTTTTTAAGTGGAAATAATCTCCCCTACAAAATTAGCATATCTGCTACAGAGTTAATACATCCTCTGCATAGAACACATGTTAGATGTTATGTTTTTATTTTTTTCAACATGTTAAACTCACCACGAAAAACAAACCAAAAAAAATATATATTGTTTTTATATTTTTTACATTTGTTCATTTATTTTCAGAAAATGTGTAATTTGACCAGAGGTGTTCAATTTGAATTAAATTCAGATTGTTATGCTGATCATATCATTTGTTGAAATGTAATTAAAATCTTTGAAATATGAATTTTTAAAATAAAAATAAAAAATGAATATTTAAAACACCAAAATACAAATAAAACATGAATTCATAAAATACACACATTTCAAAATGTTTAGCATTTGGCAAGAAAACCTTTTGTTTTAATGAAACTGAGAGTGGTCTAAATATGAATTTCAACAGATCTAAAAAGACACAAATTTGCTTCAGTTTGAATAAAGACCTAGAAAAAGTGTCAGAATCTTTAATATTTCTCATTTTTTTACTTTTACTTTTATTTGCTCTTAATTTTCTTGATATATTTATGTTGTTTATGCCATGGACGTGTGGGAGGTGGGGCCATGCAGTGTGGCGATGCAGAGAGCACAACAGGAGCGCAGTAAGAAAGACTGTGTAAATAAGTTGTATTTCAGTCGAAGGTGTGAACACGTTACACGTGCTAATCTGTGCTGGGTTGCGGGGTAGTTAGGCAGTGCTAAGTGGCTACCACGTCGAAATGTGTGGTTAGAAGTGACCTGTCTGTTCCCTGGCCATGTCAGCTAGTGCTGACTGGGGGTTCTCCACTGCTGCTGTGTTCAATAAAAGAGCATTCACTTACTTAAAGTGCCATGTCTCTGTATATATTATGCAGTTGTTGTGATTTTAATGACAGTTGCAGTCTCTCTCTCTCCAGCTGCACATCCCTGTCAGATATCCCTCTCAGTTAAAGTCTCTGCATCTTTCTCTCTCACTGCATCTCCATCTTTCCTTCTAGCTGTAGCCTGAGGGCGAGGAACCCTACCGATGCACGAATCTCGCTAGGAGAGAAGTAGTAAACCACCGTCGCCGCTAATGATGGGGAATCTATCAGCCAGAGCATATAAACCATAGCACTCAACTCACCGGGGGGGCGAAACCACAAATTGCCCATAAGTGCGGACCAGTCGCATGTTTCTGAACAGAGATTGCAATCAAAGCATGCGTTATAATGAAACAGCCCCAAACAAACTGTAAAATACGCTGTAAAAATGGCTCGTCAGATCAACATAAAAAATGACTTAATTTAGTAAAAAGCAACTAAACTAGTTTTATTCAACTCAAAAATAACAGTGAGTGTGTTTACATGCACTTAATAATCCGATAATAGAAAATCCGATTTTGTCAATAATTCAATCAAAACGTTTACATGCACTTGAGTAATCAGACAATGGGAAAACTCCAGGTCTACATGAGTCAGGCAGCAATCAGATCTCTACTGTACAACCCGCCAATAAACTCACAGAAGAAGACGTAACATAAACATAATGTAAAACTCAAACTTCATGCCATGGCTTTTTTTTAAACTTGGGGCCACTTTACCTGACATGAACATACATCAAGATGAAAAATATTTAAGTCCTTCATTTCCTCAAGCATGTATTTGGTTTCAGCGTCACTCCATAAGTGTTTTGCTGCGTCTTGCAGCAACTCTGCGAAACTTATTTCCGGTACTGCCGTCTGTTTTCACACATGCGCAGACTGAGAAATCCGAAAGAAATCAGAGTAAGAGTTTACATGCACTGAGAAAGCTGACTACTGAGCTAAAATCCAGCCTCTTTATCAGCTTTCTTAATCAAATTTCTCGACCTTATTCCAATCTAAAAAATCAGAGAATGCTGTTTACCTGACCCTTTTGAAAAATCAGATAACTACAGAAATCTGATTACGATCAGATTATTGAGTGAATTGAAAGAATCGTTGATTCAAAGTATTTGTTTAAGTTCAATAAAACTAGTTAATTTACTTGTTATGAAGTATTTTTTTAGGTTGAATTGAGAAGCCAGTTTTTACATATTATTACTTCCTCAACTTTTTTTTTGTTAGATTTTGTGTTTGTGTGTGTGTGTGTGTGTGTGTGTGTGTGTGTGTGTGTGTGTTTGCAGATTTCCAGTGTAAATGCTATTCAGCACAGTCCCTGACCTGTCAGCTGTTGGTATATGGTGTGTTATATATTCTCTCGCTCCCTCAAAGTACTCTTGAAAAAAGCAGAGCTTCTGCTAAATCTCAGGAGTCAGCGCGGATCACAAATGTTCAGGATCAGTTTTTTTATTCAGAGAAGTCTGAAGTTATTGTTCTTCTTATTCTCCATATGTTTTCTATGCACGTAATTATGTACAGTACTGTACAAAGTCAGAGTCCGTCCCCATTTATATCCAGTAAATGTTTTACTATCAGGATAATAAAGACAGAAAATCTATATTGAACCAAAAACTACATAGAAGCTTTAAGAACTAAATAGAAAACTTTTTTTTTTTTATTTAGTGTGTCAACCCTTTGCCTTCCATTCATTCCAGGAGACTTGCTGGCAGTTTTTCAAGGAAATACAAAAAGTTGGTTGCTTTTTTTTTCTTTTCTTTTGCTAACTGAAGGGAGGTTTTTGGCTTTTGCACAGAAACACAATGACATAATTATTGAATTAATTAAACAGTCACGCACTGAGTTACATTTACATTGTATATAAAATCTATTCATATATAAACTCTCAAAATAAACTATTCCTTTATAAACTCTCCTCTTCTGCTCTCAAACACAATAGTGTTAATGAATAGAGGTGTAACAAACTATTACTTCTATAAATAATCTATAAACTCTTTAAAAAATGACTAACAATGAAGCTCTTGTTTTAATAAGAAATTCTTCAACAACTATACTACTGAATCCAAAAAATGACAAATGTTATTCAGTAATAGGCTATAAGAATTTATGGTATGATACAAAGGCTACAAAGTATGACTAAAGATAAGAAAATACAATGTTATTACAAGAAAGTTTTTAATTGTTTAATTGTTCATTGAAGTCTTTAAACTCTTTAAAGTCTTCAAAGTCTTTAAAAAAAATTAAACCTCTTAAAATTCCAGGTGTATTACATGCTAAGACTTATTATTCAGTAAGTGCTAGGACTTCAGTGTAAAGTGGTTGAGCTATTCTTACGTTACATAAGTGTGTAATAAAACTTATTGAAGGAGTTACAGTACAGTAAGACTCAGTACCTCTTTATTTGAAAAGCTCTATAGATCTATAGATGTTCAAATTATTAGCAAACTATCAGGTGAAACAGTGATTCTCAACAGTGTCAGGATTAGAGGTAGGATTGGCCCAAGGGTTAGGTTTAAGATCAGGGTTTAGCAGGGTTCAGTTATGTTTTGCAACCCATACTTTTAGTAGAATTTCTCTGCTTTCAAGTTACAAGTAAGAAATAATTCATGTAAAATTTCAACAGGCTTTTATTTCCTGCGATAACTGTGACTTCTATGGGTTAAAAAGAACAAATACATCAGATGGAATCTGCACCATATGACCAGCTGTGAGCGCATTATACATCCATCCCATTTCCCCAGTGCTTCTCCAGATTCATTGTTGAGCAGTTCCCTGCACTATTGATTTTGCTCCATTCACCCCTCAGTTGGTTTTAAAGTCCGCACTGAAAAGCATGTTCTGACAACCCGCCCTGACATTGCATCCTCTGCAAGGCCACGGCGAGGTTTCACAGAAATAAATAACTTTTATTTCGCTCTTATTCCCATCTGTTTGAGGAGGAATGGTAATCCTCTATGGATGAGATCAGTGTGGCTGCAAGGCTGTCTGCTGCTGGACTTGGCTCATAAGCAGCACGCAGACAGTTTATTTCCAACTCCAAAACACATCTCAAGTCGCACTTTGCAATGGATAGACATGCTTTAATAATTTTCTATTTCTGCTCGTTTTGACAGATGGTGACACATTAACGATGATGGAGCTGATGGTACATTAGCCTTACCTCAACTTAGATAAGATTTATTGTCAGCTCATGAGATACTTGGCAGTATACACTGTGTTGTGGGAATGATTTGAATGTTTTTTTTCAGTGAAGTTGTTGGAGAGTTAAAGGAAAACTCTTACCTGTACTGAGTCACTGGTGGGTTGGCTTTAGCAGAGCAATGAAACTTCACCAGATTTCCCTCCAAAACTGGCTGGGGTTCCACAGAGAGGTTAACAAGCGGCAAGTCTGCAAGAAAAAAACATAACTTGTCAGTCATGAAATACCAATAAAATGTCTTCTTCTTGTGTCCGAATGCTATAGTAGAAGAGTTGCAGTCCTCATGAGTATCAATTCTGTTCCATTGCGATAAACAATCTAGAATATCTTGGTGATCTTCACGAGACAATTTTGGAAGAGTTACTGTAGAAAGTCAGCATGATCATAAGCACACTTCATGTAGAATGCTATTGCCTAGGAAATGACTAGAATAACTAGAAATAACTAGAAAATCTAGTTAAAGTAGGAAAACAGAATAATCTTTAACAGTTTGTAGAAAACAACTAAAATACTCAGTTAACATTTTTTTGCATTTACCAGACGTTCTTATCCAGAGTGACTTACAATTTTGATCATTTTTTACGCAGGTAGGCAAAGGTAGTGTTAGAAGTCTTGCCCAAGGACTCTTATTGGTATAATGTAGGGTGCTTGCCCAGGCAGGGGATTAAACCCCAGTCTACAGCGTAGAAGGCAGAGGTGTTACACACTACACCAACCAGTTAACAGTTCAACTAAAACCATTGCACTCTTCAAAAAATTCACCTATAAAACCAACCTTCCTTAGAAAGGTTCACTAAGAAAACTACTGCAGTCTTCAGAAGAGTTCAACAAGAAAACCACTGCGATCCTTAGAAGGGTTGACCTAGAATACCACTGTGATCCTCAGAAAAATTCATCTAGAAAACCAATGTGATCCTCAGAAGACTTTGCTTGAAATATCACTGCAATTCTCAGAGGAGTTTACCTAGAATACTACTTTGGTCCTCTGAAACGTTCATGTAGAACACTACTGTGATCTTCAGAGGAGTTCACCTAGAATACCAGTGTGATTCTCAGAGGAGTTTATCTAGAATACCATTGCAATCCTCAGAAGAGTTCAGCTAATATACCACTACAATCCTCAGAAGAGTTCAGCTACTATACCACCACAATCCTCAGAAGAGTTGACCTATTATACCACTACAATCCTCAGAACAGTTCACCTATTATACCACTACAATCCTCAGAAGTGTTCATCTACTATACCACCACAATTGTCAGAAGAGCTCACCTAGAATACCACTGTGATCCTCAGATGACTTTGTTTGAAATACAACTGCAATCCTCAGAGGAGTTCCCTTTAGAATACGTCTCTATAATCTTCAGAAGAGTTCGTCTACTGTACCACTGAATTCACCTAGAATACCACTGCAGTCCTCAGAAGAGTGTGCGTGAAATATCCCTGCAACCCTCCGTAGATTTCACCTACTCTACCACTACAATCCTCAGAACTGTTCACCTACTATACCACTACAATCCTCAAAACAGTTCACCTACTATACCAATAGAATCCTTAGAAGAGATCACTTAGAATGCCAATGCAATCTCCAGGAGAGGTCATCTAGAAAACCCCTGCTATCTTCAAAAATGTTTATTCAGAAAACCACTGCAAATACCAGGAGAGTTCACCTGGAGTACTCCTGCAGTCTTTTAAATCTAGAATATCCCTGGAATCTACAGAGGAGTTCATCTACATCTCAAATATGATGACGGTTCTTTCATTTTATTCTGGGATACCACTGCAGACCTCTGAAAATCAATCTGAACAACAGAGGAATAGTTCACTAAATGGCTTTGCGAAAATACTTGAAAAATACAGTAAATAAGCAAATCTTAAATACGGCTGAAGTGCTTATCCAAGGACAAACCTTTCGATTATTCTCTGGATTAGCTGAAGACATTAAAGTCAGGTACAAAAGAAATAGTACAGACAATGTGATAAACAATCACCATGTACACAAGTGAAGATTAAAGTTACCAAATGTTTAATTAGAAGAAACAAATATAACAATATACACCGATCAGGCAAGATTATGACCACCTCCTTGTTTCTACGCTCATTGTCCATTTTATCAGCTCCACTTACTATATAGGTGCACTTTGTAGTTCTACAGTTACAGACTGTGGTCCATCTGTTTCTCTGCATACTTTGTTAGCCCCCTTTTACCCTGTTCTTCAGTGGTCAGGACCCCCATGGACCCTCACAGAGCAGGTACTATTTGGGTGGTGGATCATTCTCAGCACTGCAGTAACACTGATGTGGTGGTGGTGTGTTAGTGTGTGTTGTGCTAGCATGAGTGGATCAGACACAGCAGTGCTGCTGGAGTTTTTAAACACTGTGTCCACTCACTGTCCACTCTATTAGACACTCCTACCTTGTCAGTCCACCTTGTAGATGTAAAGTCAGAGACGATAGCTCATCTAGGCTGCACAGTTTGTGTTGGTCATCCTCTAGTCCTTCAGCAGTGGTCACAGGACGCTGCCCACAGGACGCAGTTGGCTGGATATTTTTGGTTGGTGGACTGTTCTCAGTCCAGCAGTGATACTGAGGTGTTTAAAAACTCCAGCAGCTCTGCTGTGTCTGATCCACTCAGACCAACACAACACCCCACCACCACATCAGTGTTACTGCAGTGCTGAGAATGATCCACCACCCAAATAGTACCTGCTCTGTGAGGGTCCATGGGGGTCCTGACCACTGAAGAACAGGGTAAAAGGGAGCTAAAAAAGTATGCAGAGAAACAGATGGACTACAGTCTGTAATTGTAGAACTACAAATTGCACCTATATAGTAAGTGGAGCTGATAAAATGGCCAATGAGCCTAGAAACAAGGAGGTGGTCATAATATTATGCCTGATCAGTGTATAACTGTGCTCAAAAATAAGCACATCAGCCGCTCATATTAAATAAATGATGACTTCATTTATTAAGCAACATTTTTATGTCCTTACAAAATCAAAAGATGCAAGACTGCACTTGAGATTGACCCCATGTGAATAGTACCATTTAGTTAAAGGTTTTCTCCGCTCTACATATCACTTCATGACACACGTCCTATCCATGCTTTTCACTGTATCACCAAGGCACAGGAGAAAATAAGAGATGTGTTTAAACCTGAGCATGAGCTCACTCCCTCCTATTCAACCTTGAGGCTTCTGGTTCAAACAGCTCTTTCAACTCCATTCTTTTTCACATATTCTTTATATCTGCTTAAAAGTTGAATGACACATCTTGTGCTCCCCTTGTGCCGTGAATGCTGCGGCTTTATAAAAGAACTATTGATACAATGGGTCTACAGAACACATGATACATGAGGATTCTCTGAGAGCCTTTTGTGTGAGGCAAATGGTTAAACCAGCCTTACAACTACACGCACTAGACCCTTATCCATAAAATGTGTTACAGTAGAGCTACAGTAGTTGAACCATAATGGTGAAATCACTGGGAGAAAGAAAGCAAAAGGAACCTGATTGCTATGCAGTTACAGATACTTAAGTAGAGAGAAAGCGTCAAACAGCGCACATAAGCATTTCGGTGTTCACATGGGAGGAAGAAAAGGAGAATGAGAGAGAGACAAAGGAAATATGAGTTACAGTAACTTACAAAAACCTCACTCCTACACCACTGACCCTTATCATTACATAATAAATCATTTTAATCATAATTTGCTGGACTTGGCTCATAATCATGTAATAATCATGTAATTAAAACATGGCATTATTATGCTAATCAATATAATGATACTGTTTCTGCTACTAAAAATTATGAAAACAAATATTAATAATAACAAAGGTGATGATGATGATGATGATGATGATGATGATGATGATTTAGTATTAAATCCATGATTATAACTATGTAACTGTATAGGACTTTGTATTGTTATTACACATTATAGAACGATATTTCTAATGCTAATGAGAATACTAATACTAACAAAAAGTGCTGATTATTATTATTATTATTATTATTGTTGTTGTTTTTGTTGTTGTTGTTGCTATTCTCACTATTATTATGCCTTGGCAATATAATAGTATATTTTGAGCCGAAAGAGACAGACAGAGAGAGAGAGAGAGAGAGAGAGAGAGAGAAGGAGAGAGAGAGCGAAGCAAAGAGTGAATCTGGACTGAGTTTAATGCAGGTGCCTCCCATATTACTGGATGCACTCCTGCCTCCATGTGGTGTGCGTCCAGTAATAAAATCTCTACTGGCTGTTTCCTCTTCCATCATTGGAAAGCAGTGGGCACAGAGAGTGGCATGAGGATGGCACTGGCTGCTGGGGTTCAGCTGTCTATCCCGAGGGCTCTGCTGTTACAGCATGCGTTCCTGTGTGTGTGTGTGTGTGTGTTTGTACATTCTCCTTGTAGTATTTGTACCCTGAAGGTACACAGCTGGATTGGGTGGGCTCAGCTGCTGCATTCCCAGTAGGAAGGTGTTCCAGGTGCCATCCTGAAGCTCATCTGCTTCTGCTTGTGCAAGGGACCGTGGCTCACTATATACACACAGATACACTCATACACCTGCTCCATGTCCCTACCTGCCAGCACAGGATTGAGTGCCATTCCTAAACCCAAGGGATGCCCTGCTCCACCGGCAGCCAGCTTGATCCATGCTGCGATCTGCCTGGTTACCAAGCGGGGTACCTGTGTAGCGTTAGCACCGACTAATTGGGCAGACCATGAGGTGGGCACACAGACAGGCCGTGAGGCAGCCATGCGGGTGGAAGCACTTTCGTCTGCATTGGTAAAATCATCTACCCTCCAAGCTCATTTGGCACCTGACGATTCAGAGCGCTTGGAAGGGGAAAAAGTGAAAAGTCTCCAGGCTCCACGGGTAATTCTTCTTATTACTGTGTTTCATATTACCAATGCAATAAAAGAATGCTTTAATGCCAATGCCAGTAATAGCAGGAACCCCAAAAGCTTGCTTTGTAATCATAGTCCTGTTATCATCGGTTTCCTAGACATGGATTAAGCCTAATACCAGACTACATGAGATTCTGAATGGAGGTTCTCCAATGAATGGAATATAAAGTCCAGGACTAGACCAAATCCTTGATTGGGAAACTGACCTATAATGTACAAACAAAACCTTGTAACAGTCATGGCAGTTTTGAGTAAGGCACCTACCATGTAACCCTAATGAGAAC